CTGCTGAAAGGGAAACTAGATAGAAATAAAATCTGCATGTAGCTCTGAGACGTTTGCAATATATTTAAAAACCCTCAAATTGAAATGATAAAGAGATCAGATTCCTTTTTTTCTTTAGTACAGTTTATTGTTTTGAAATCCTGAGTAGTCTTACATACAGAATTAGAGTGGATTTGTTTTTAAGCTTGGCTTCCACTTTAACTGGGCCATGCCAAGTATCCTCTTCAGACTAACACAGATGATTTTTTTTATGCAGGTACTTCTACAATTTCAAAATAGTCATTAGGTAGAACCACATAGCCTTTTCCTGCCAATATGTTTTTTTCTTTCTGAAACTGAATAATCTCTTGCAGTTTTTCAATTTGTCTTTCCTGACGCCTGCATCGCTGTTGTGCTGTCTTAAGCTTCTTCCGCAGCTTTTCAACTTGTTCCTCCAGTTGCAGGATTCTTTTTCGCTGATGAACTGTATCCTCTACAGTATAGTTGTGATCACAGAAAACAGCAAGATTGCTAGGGGACTGGAGAGGAGGCATCAATAGTCCAATTTTTGGACTTGCAAGTTTCACATCTATTTGAGATAAAGGAAATGAAGGATTTGGAGGCCGTGGTAATACAGGAGGTGGTGGTAGTGACAAATCTTCTGGCTGTTCTGTAAATTCTTCAAACTAAAATAGCAAGATAAGAGTACATATTGTAGTTGAGAATGATATAAACAGATTAGTTGCAGCCTCCAGTACAACGTAAACAAGCAGGAGAAAACTTAGTAAGAGAAACCTCAAAGTCCATATTTGCAAAACTAACAAACAGATCTGGACTCATTTTGCCTGGATTCTAAACTGGAGATGTTTAAGAAGCCTGGTTTTCAGAGCTCTCAAACTCAAGGCTGACTTCAAAAGCAATAGTGATATCTGGGCTCTTCGGTTTCCGATTACTTTGAGAACGCTTAGGCCAAACACATATACAAGTAGTTAACAAGCTTTTAATCACCACCATACATGATAAGGGCTAGCTGTAAGAACTCAGGCTGCAGTTTCATAGGATTGGGGGGGGGGGAAGCAAGCCATTGCCATCCTACTTCCCTTTGTCTCTCCTTTTAGCTGTATATCACCAATACTTACTTTGTATTCCTGTGAGTCAATTCAATTCACCATCTCAGCAAAAAAATAATCCAGAAAAAAATCATTAATTTCCTGTTGAGTTAGAATAAGAATCACTTCAATAAGGAGGCTGATAAACTGGCAAAGAGGTGAACATAGCAAGACACACCACTTCAAAAGCATATACCTTTTAACTATTTGTCAGAAAGCAGCAAGGGCTGGCTGCTCCCTAAGGGACAGGGAGCTGGGCACAATCACACAGCCAGCAGGGCAGAGGTCTCATCAGCCAGGTGAAATCAGGCAGGGAAATAAGACTGTAAGGAGTATAATTACCCCAGAATGTCTTTGTTCAAGGTCCCTCCCCAGAGGCACCCAGCTCGAGCTGTTACTTTGCTGTACCGTCATTTAAAGAAATAATCAATCAATTTCGCTGCTAGACATAGGTGAGACTCTGCTCCTCAGAAACCTAGGGTCAAACTGTTTCCATAACAGAGCAAATGATCTAAAGCATCAAAAAAAAATCTGAGAATGTCTACTCAAAGAAAATAGTTCCTTTTCTGTTCTCTCCTACTAGTAAAGTCTAGACAACCTCCCCCCCAAAAAATTCACCAACCCTTCCTAAAAAGAAATTAATTTCACATTCTAATATTACTTTTTTCTGTTTCTAGTATTTTAGAGAAAGTTTCTTTAGACTAAAACAAGAAAAATACAGATTTCTTCTGAAAAAATAAATCTAGTTCTCCATAATGTTTCTATGATTTATTTGAACAGACTACAATTAAATTACATTATAAAAAAATTCCCACCCAGATCTCAGCACTTTTCTGTGTAGCACTGAATTGTTACTGTACTGCATAAAGAACAAGCACAACTGGAATGTACAGAGAAAGAAAAAGCATAAGTAAAGCTCTTCTGCCAAATAACCACTTCCAAAACTATGTATCTATAAAAATAAGATAAAGGCAATGCCCCAAAAAAATGTTCAAGTCTCATTAAATAACCATCAGTGTCTCAAGTTTGCACCAGCACAAGAAATATAAAGCTTGCAGTCTAGAAAAGCATTTTCATATGACTGAATCTGAAACATATTTCTTCCTACTTCAGAATTACAATAGAATAATTCTCCTCCAAGGCTTGATTTTAAAACTGAAGCCATTCATGTGCTTTACTTACAAAAGCATTCACAAATGGGGCTCCTGGACCCACAGGCAGAGGGTGTGGGAGGAGGCCCCAGGTGAAGCTGGTCAGGGCCATTAAGGCTTATTAGTGCAATCAGGGCCCTGATAGCCTCACTGTTTTGAAACTACAGCCTAAGCGTTCAGTTTAAAGAGACATGGTGAGTCAATGTAAACAGCTTGCCAATGCCAAAAAGGGAAGATACAGCTCTACTTTTTTACCCCCACTCCCAGCCACATGCTTCTGCCAGCTCTTAAGTTGTCTCAGCAAAGGGTAAATAGAAGTCACTAAAATGACAGAGAGCCATAGACTCCCTCCCTCCCCCCAAAAAAGCTTTTGTCATTTTAATAAGTTAAAGCAGCTCAGCAGGAGGTATGACCAACACTGAAACTGGTACAAGGAAGGAGAGG